TTGCAGGAAACGCATTCGTGTGTGACTGTCGAGCTCACATTGCTCTGTCCTCTCCTACAGCGAGACAGTGTAATCTGTCAAGCCCAGCAACGTGTCCGAGTTCGACAGCACGTTGCCCTCAGCATCAGCGATCTTGACCAACCCCTTCTCCTTGGCCTGCTGCAGGTAGTCCGTGAACCCCGTCGAGCCCAACGACTGGTAGAAAGCACCAATGCCCGCCAGCCCAGGGTTGCGCTTCGCCACCTCGCTCGACAGCTTCGTCTTGCTCACTCCCGCAGCGCCGTCACCCGCCAATGCGACCAGGCTGTCGACGAGCGGCCGGAAGCGCACGGCGTCGTCGGCGGGGACGGGTCCAGACGCCGTCGCGCCCTCGGGCGACGTGGAGCGTTGCAGGGATGCGAGGACTTGGCTCGTCTCCTTGCGCAGCGCCTCAAGGTCTTGCGTAGGTCGTTGAGTGTCCGACGCGTTTGCGTCCGTGGGTTTGCCCTTGCTGAGCGAGAACAGATTCGTCTTGAATCGAGGCTGGCCATTGGAGCCGTCGTGAGCTTCAGCATCGTCCGACCCGTCGTCTTCGCCATCGGTCACGCTAGTCTTGGACCCGGGACGAACGAGTCTCGGATGCAGACGGATGTGCCTCACACCCGGTTTGAACCCCGGCTCCGTGGTGACGATCTTGGCTGCCACGGCGGCCTCGAGGTGTTCTTGGAACTCTTCTGCCGACTTTGCCTTCAAACCAGGCACGACCACCGACGTGCGCTGGGTGCCGACGATCGACTGGCAAAAGTAGTCGGTCGAGTAGTTGCGGCCCTCCACCATCTGCTCGAGCAGCAGCGTGGCGAGCGGCGAGAAGATGAGCGGAATTTCGTGTCCGTTGACGATGGTGCGACGCTTCGAGAGGCTGGCTCCTTTGAGCGGCGAGTCGGTTTTCGGCGTGCTCTTGGACGAGCCAAAGTCCAACAGCGAGCGCTTGATCGACGACACTTTCTTGTCGACCGATGGCGAAGGCGTGGTGGCCGTGTCTGCGATGCGACCGGCGCTGGGCATGATCTGGTTGGTATGCATGTGCCAGAATCTGGGATGCAGCTCGACGACGAGCACTCCCTCCTGATCGGTCGGAGCAGAGCGTGCAATCCCCGCCTTCTCAGCCGCAGCGAGATACTCTCTCCAGCCGGGTACGCCCGCGAGCGCATAGGCGTCTACAATGCCCGAGCGCGCGAGGGCGGACAGCTGCATGCCGACAAAGGAGCACAGCGGCTTGAAGGTGCCCTGAGCTCTCTGCTCCTTGCAGATTTCGATCAGCGGCAAGAAGGGCTTGAGCTTGGCTGACTCGCCTGCATTGCCGCTGGGAGTCGTGTGGTTGTACGAAGTTGGTTTCTGTCGGTGCGGTGTCGAGCTGGAAGAGGAGGACGAGGTGCTGGGCATCATGGGAATGGACGACAAAGCAGCAGCCTTGGCCGTGTCGTTGAGCGCGACCCATTCATAACCAGATTGCCCAGACGATCCGAGCGTCACGATACCGGCTGCTTCAGCGACAGCGGCGTACTCGGCCCATTTGGCTGCATCAGCCCGAACAAAGATGCCCCTGTCCATCTGAACGAGCCGCGCAGCTACCATGGATCGGAGAGGCTTTGGGTTGCCCTCCTTCTTGATCTGCTCGAGCAGCTTGATGAGCGGGTCGAAGAGCTGTAGAGTGCGATTCGACGGTCGACGGTCCTGGTGTTTCAAAGCGCCGGGTGGCTTTCCCACCGACAAGCTGCTGTTGTTGTTGGTGTTGGTCGACGAAGCGTGATTCGAGGAGGCGCTGCTGGAGTAGCCTTGCTTTGAAGGCGTGTGAGGACCTGCATTTGAATAGCTGCTGTACGGCTTGCCGTCCTTGTTGATCTGGATGCCGAGCACGTCCTGACGCCAAGACATGACGACGTTGGCCGATGCTTCGAGAATGGGAACGGCGCCGATGGGGGGCGTCACGAGGACGACATTGTAGCCACGATTGCGAAGAATGCCGAGCGGGTAGGCAAAGTCACGGTCGCCAGAGATGAGAACGACAGTGGCAGGAGCAGGCTGGTCGATGGCGTAGGCGAGGAGATCGGTGATCATCATCTTGTCCGCAACGTCCTTCCTGCCGCTCTTGGGTGTGTCGATCAGACTGACGCCACAGCCTTGAAGCTCGCTCCTGAGCTGCACTTGCGCTGCATTAGGTGCTTGCGTTTCAGAGGAGAGCTCGAGGTAGGCCTTGAAGCTGACGATGGGACCAACATCGAGGTTCTGGATCGCGCTGCGCACAGCAAGCGCAACAGAGCGACCCGAGGAGCCCGTAGGTGGGGCACAGTTGTCTACGTCCCAAAAGATGGCGATCGGTTCGGTATCCTCTTTGAAGCGATCTCGCTTCGTCTTGCCATTCAGCGCGGAGGGAGGCGAGGATTCGTGTTGCCTTTCATCACGATCCGAGGAGGTATCGCTCTTGCCCTTTGTGGTGGAAGATTTTGGCAAAAACTGTGCAGCTACGAGAAGCGAGCCGGTGCCGAGACCTGCAAGCGCGAGCCAGCGCGCACCAGGCTGCTGGAAGAAGTGGGCTAGCGTGCTATATGAAGCCGAAGCAGCTGCATCTTGGCGAGTGGAGGCCATGGGTCGGCCAAAGTGCGGCTAGGTGGACGAATGTCGAAATGTCTATGTGCTGAGCGAATACGAGTGGCAAGATGCACTTTTGATGTAACAAAATGGCTCGAGGCTGAGGGGATGTGGGTAAGGAGCGTGGAGTCGACAGAGGATGGGCTCTTTTATGTGCTTGAGGAGGCGATGACGGTCAGGAAGAGGTCTGAGAGGTGGCGCGTTGGTTCCCCTCTTCGGTGGTCTGAGCTCAGTTTTTCGTCACAAAGCGTTCTGACACGCGCGGCTGACCTGAGAGAAAGGGAAAGAGGGAAAGAGCGCTTGCGCTTTCATCCTTTTTTTCCGGATCTTCCGCCCTCCATCCGACAAGGGTCCAATTGGAGGAAGAGGAAGAAATGGTGAGCCGAGTCTTCCAACTCAAGCTGATCCACGGTCGGAAGAAAGCCGAACAGCTTATCTGCAGTTGAGTTCCCACCAGTCTCGAAGCCAGCTCTTTCTTCTTGAATCACCACCACGCCTCTGTGACAACGGCAGCCACTTGCCACGATGGCGCAACTCTATCACTTCCCACAGACAAATGCGGAGCTCATCCGACACTACAAGCTCGAACCTCACCCCGAGGGCGGCTACTATGCGGTCACATGGGTGATGGAGGAAAAGATCAAGTCGCCCTTCGCTCTCGACATCGAAGAACGCAACATTGCCACCTGCATTTACTATCTGCTCTGCAACAAGACGGACGGATGCACCGACAAGCCTTCACACGCTGGCAGCTCGGAGGAGCCGGACCCGTTCAAGACGTGGAGCAGCGACATCGGCGTCCTGCACCTCAACAAATCCTCGACGATGCATGTCCACCACGCTGGCAGAACCAAATACACACTCATCTCGGCAAAGGCGCCGCTTGGCAAAGGGCTCGTCGACGAGAATGGCGATCCGCTTACAAAGACGGTAGTGATGGGCGACGATATCACCAAGGGAGAGGTGCGACAGCTTTTGGTCGAGGGAGGATGGTGGAAAGTCAGCGAAATCCCCGAGGAGGACCGTGATGCAGCAAAAGAGGGCAAGGTCGACGTTGAAAGGATAGGAGCCCTCATCTCCGAAGTCGTCACGCCAGGCTTTCACTGGAACGATCACACCTACCTCAATCAGGCTAAGCTGCGAGAGCTGTTTGCGGACAGCCCGCGCTCCGAAGAGCTGTACCAACGCTTCGAGAAGTACGTCAAGGAGGTGTGATGCTGCCTCACTCGCATTCGTTATTTGCATGGCAACGGATTGGAATAGAATACATTGATTGGAATACGCTAAGGTGGTTACTTCTTCGAACCGTAGTCTCGGACTGGGAACAGTCGGTCAAAGTTGCTGCGGTCCATGAACCAAGGGTCCTTGCGATCGAGTTGCGCCTTTGCTGTCTGTTCAGCGGGAGTGAGACCCTGAGCACCTGCGACACCGGACCAGTCGGTCTCGCCGCGCAGGCTGAGCTTGAAGCGCGACCAGTATTGCGTGTACAGATTCTTGGCCTTGGTCTCGAACAGCGGTGTCGGTGCAGCCTCGAGCTGGTATCCGAACGTGACGTCCTCGCCAAGCAGGATCGACGAAGGCACCTTCTGTCTTGATCCCGACTTGGCCGACACGACACGTCTTCCCTTGCCCTGTGCAAACTGCTCGATCTCGACGGCCGATGTCCTGTCCCGGCGATACAGCGCATCCAGCGGGTGGAAGCGTTCGCAGGGGTCTTGCGGATTGAGTGGCGCACTCCTCTTTGAGCGCATGGATGGAGGCAAGAATGCACGGAACGGTCGTGCCGCCGTTCGGATGCCGATCTGCGACGTGGCCGGATACAGCGTCACCCGCGTCGCAAGCCTCGAAGGCGTCCAGAAGAAGAACATCCCGAGGCCTCCACCCGTCACCGCCACCGCCGTACCCGCGGCATATCGAAGCATCGGCGGTGCCAGCTTGGTCTTTTCCGGATCTCGCGTCAAGATGGGCCAGCTGAGGTGCTGTGTCAGCAGAAAGCCCTGGTAGCATCCAGCGCCTGTGAACACGCTGCCGATGAAGTAGTACAGCGCCCTCTTCATGCCCGGTGGCCCTCGGTATAGCACTCGAGGTGCTGCCGCTGTTGCTGCTGCGCTCATCTCGATGATTCCTGGGTCTGGCTCCGCAGATCTCGCAGTGAGGAGAACGCAGGCAGTTGGGTAAGAGCCAATTGAAGCGTAAAGTGGGTGTGATGAAGGTTCGCGGATGACGAGGATGCAGCTGTCTCTGTGCTTTCTTCTTGCTTTCTTCCGACTTTTTCTCGACCATGCCTAATGAAGGACTCCGAGTTCCGGGAGCACGTGGAGGCTCAAGGGTAACTGTATATATTTGCACCAACAGCAAAGAGATTTGTAGATGGCCCTATAGCTCAGCGGTAGAGCGTCGGCTTCCAGTCTCTCTAAATCTCGGAACTGCCATTCCGAAGGCCACCCGTTCAAATCGGGTTGGGGTCATTCTTTTTCGATTTTTTTTTTTGCGGTTTCGCTGCGATCTGGTGTGCGGATCCACGTCGAGGCATCAGAGAGCTTTGATCGATGTGTACAAGCCGTCGGAACGGGAGGAGATGGTTGAAGATGTTGCGGGCCAAGGCGTGCGGCGGCGTGTGGCTTGGACAGCGAAGGATCAAGTCGCCGGCCCTGAAAAGCTCGAGCTTCGCTTCTGCTGTTGGAGCGTATCTCGACATGATCTCATCGAGCACAGCTTCTATGCGCAGAACAAGAATGGATCGACATCACTGTAGGCACGATGATGAAACTGGGATCGACTAGCATCTCGTGCTCATCGCTGTTGGGCATCTACTGTCGCTGGGACGAGTGAACGTCGGAGCTAAAACACCGCTCGCCGTCGGGATGAGACGCCGTCGAGGACGATAACGAGATTGCGATCAGCTTTCTGTCCGGCATCATCAAGCTCGCAAAGTGCACAACTCAATGGAGACCGCTGTGCTCCGACGGACGGTAGAGGAGAGCAAGGCATGATGAAAACCGATGCCAAGTTTCGTCACACTGGAAAGGCCTTGCGGTTTGACGTTCGAAGCGACGTGCGCCTTCTTGCATTTTCGGCTGTGCGCAAGCTGTGCTCATGTGCCTCTAAAGTCTAGACACACAAAACATGTGCTTATGGTGGCATGTGGAGGTTTGCCTGCCAAAAAAAAAACGCCGGTCCGCTGTCACAGCAGTCAAGCCGTGAATAGAAACCAGCGACAGCAGCAGCACAGCATCAACCTCTGAGCGGCCCTGCTTCCGCCTCGCCTAGCGGGCTGCTAAGGAGCCGTGGTTTCGGTGACTGGTTGTGTGAAAGCGGGTAGAATCATCGAACTCGACGAGCAGTGTCCTACTCTCAGATAGCGAGACGATTTGTGGCAGCGAGAGCATCCCAGCAGTGTCGCCCTGAGAACCGCATGTTGGTGAGCGCTTGGCCCGAGCAACGACAGTCCGTCCCGAGTTCTCGCATCAGTCGCTGTTCGTATGCCCGTGGTCCAAGCACCCCGCTGTGCGAGCGACCGAAAGTGCATATAAGCAGGCTCAACTCCTTCAGCAACTTTTCCTTCTCACAAACAAACACCACATCATCATACCAACACTCTCAAACTCTCAAATCTAGCAAACATGTCCGCTCCCGAACAGAACACCGGCGCTGGCCAGCAGGACGCTCTCGACAAGGCCGTCCAGATGGGCTCCAAGAAGTTCGGCCACGAGCAGAACGCTGGCACCACCGAGAAGATCTCGGACGGCATCCGCTCTGGCTTGTAAGTGTTCTCTTCTTGCTATTGCTTCTCGTTTATCATTTGCTGGTTACTGACATCCCTCTTCTGCTTTCGTGCTTGACCCCTTCGTGCCATGTCAACAGCAAGAAGCTCACTGGCAAGGATGTCCCCATCAAGGACAAGCAGTAAATGCCCCGACGGTCTCCACTGTCTCCATCACGAAGCTTATACCCCATCTGATCGAGTTCGATGTTCTCCCCTGGGACCATCCTCTTTCCCTAAGCTACTTGGAATGACCACCCGTTTGGTTTTCACCCCCTTTTTTTTCTTGCTGGCCGTCCGTCTTCTCGCTCGTGATGTGTCATGTGAGCTTGAGTTCACTCGTTGAGTCTCGCGACCAAGTCGAGCAACCGGCCGGTCGAAGCTCTTCCGCTGCCGTGTGCCTTCCTCGCTGAAGGTGTGACAGCTTCGTCTGCGGATCGCGACATCGACCTTAGTCCAGCAGCTCTGCTTGGTAGTCCTGCGTTGGTCTGCTTGTTCACCGCGGGTGAGCCATGAGCGCGTGTCTTCGGAGCTCTCGGTGACTGTTGAAGCAGCACATCAACCTGCTGCAGCAGCTTGTCGATCTCGGAGATATCGTTGTCCTCCTCCGCATCGTCGTGCAGCGTTGCAGTCGATGCACATCCCCGACTACGAGCTTCTCCTTTGCTTGTCAAGCTTGCGGCTCCATCCGTGTCGTCACGATAGCTTGTGAACGGAGTGGTGTCACGACTCGTGAGCGAGCTCTCACCGTCAAACGAGCTGACTCGGCCCGGACTCGAGGCGTCGCTGGTGTCTCTGCTACCCGGCGTTGGGATAAAGGACGAAGAATTAGACTGCAACTCGTCGCTGCTGTCCAGCGTTGGGAGAACGAACGACGAGGCGGACCGAGTCGCATTCGTTGGCGAAGCAAGAGCCGCCGTACTGGAGCCCTTCGAGACAGGGATACGCCTGATCGGGATGAAAGACGTACGTCGTTGCACACAGGGAGAACCAGCGATCGGGTCGGACGACGACGAGCAATCCGAAGCATCGATGCGAACCTGACCAGTATGAATGCCACCGTGGGGACTGCCGAGATGCTGTGCAAGTCGTTTGGCGGTGAGCGGGACGGTGGGCACGTTGGTCGCGGCTGGACGGAGCACGGGCGTGGGCAGCAGAGGCCGATCTTCGTCCTGAGCTTTGTCGACATCGTTGAGCCAGTCACGGATGACATCCTGCTCTCCGCGTTGCGTCACTGAAGGACGGTGAGCATATGCAGGCCGGGGGAAGGCGGATGCGGTGCTGTCAGGGGACAATGTGATGCGACTTCCGCCGCCCTCGTCGTCTCCGTGGTACTGAGCTGAGTGGCGAGGTTTGTGAGGCTTTCTTGTGCGCTTCCTGGGACTGCGAGGTGTTTGACTTGCGCCGATCGTGTCAGAAGAGACGCTTTGCACCAAGTACGCTTGGTTGTGTGCGGTGAACCATTGCGAGTTGAGGGGCTGAGCATCTTCGCTCTCGTCGATCTCGATCTGGTTGTTGCGGAAGAGCAAAGCCAGAATCAGAAAGCAAGCGGAAAGTACAAAGAGCTGGCCACAAAGGCTACATAGCTGCCAGCCGAGGCAGCAGCCTAGGATGAAGAGGAGTCCGCGCGTGCTGAGATTGGCCATCGCTGCTCGTGAAGCCGGTGCAGAGCTCTATGGATCGTGGAAGGTTGTAAAGTGACAACACAGATAGAGGAAGGAGGGAAGACTCTGTGAACGTCATGAGCTAGGTCTCCTTTCCTTCCGCTTCCGCAGCATGCTGAGCACATCAAGAGTGTGGGAAGAAAGAGCTTTTCTGGTTCGACGTCTGCACCAAATGAGCTCTTGTAGACAGCTCTGCAACATTTGGGTGTGCGCTTGCAGAGCTCAAGCCACCAAGAGCTACTTCGAGCTTCATGAAGCTAAACCTTATCCCTGTCGAAAGTCAGAGAGGAAGCGGCGCATGCTGCGGTGTTAACATGTCAACGCTGGAATTTTGGACGTTGTTGGATCCGCCGATTCGACACGCGATCAATTTTCGACGGCCGCGTTGAGCGCCTCGTTTTCGGACCAACACCTCCACGCTGCTCGACCCCAAAAAACGGGTCCACGCCGCGCTCTCGCTGGAGACCTTTCTGTGATTATTCAGTCAGCTGTCCACATCCTCTTCAACTCCTTCCACCATCTGATCCTAGCGCGTTGAGTCCACTTTGGTATCGACTCAGCTCCCGCCTCAGCCACCATGACAGCACCTCCTCCAACCAGTGCGCAGCAAGCGCATCCGCTTCGACCTTACTATCAGCCGCCCGAGGACTCCGTGTTTATCGCGACCGCTCCACGCTTCAGCACGACCGGTACACCCGGTGCATCTGCCGCTTCCTCTTCGTCAAAGACCTTCGCTGCTGCTGCTGCCTCGAAGCCTAACACGAACAGATACATGTCCTCGAACGATGCAAAGCCCTACGTTGCGACCACGTCAGCGGGTGGCTTTGGCGAGGCGGATGCCAGCATCTCGGACATCTTCCGCGCACTCCTCGTCAGCGGTGCGCTGCAGTACACCAGCACGTGCCTTGCCATGCCCTTCGAGGTCGGTAAGCTCCTCTTGCAGGTGCAGTGGGTGCCGAGAGACGACGTGTGGATCTCCATCACACAGCAAGCAGCGCTCGCACAGCGACGAACGATCACCACCACCACCGCGCGACAGCCAAAAGTTCCTCGTCCGCAATCGCAGGAAGAAGAGGATCAGGAAGCGTGGGAGCAGGAGGTGGCACCAGAGGCCAACGAGTGGGATGAAGAGGCCAACGCACAGCAGGACGAGCTGGAAGACGAACTCTTCGAGGCGGATCTCTCGGACGAAGACGACGCCGACGCATACTTCCGCGACGTGACATCGAGACCCTCTCGACCGGACACGTCGCTCTACTCTGGACGCAAGAAGAGGCGCATGGTCGACGCTTCGGGCTACGTGATGCGCAAAAGCGTCTACGACCAGGGCGCGCGGCCCGAGTTCGTCATGCCCGTTGTTGTGCGGGGTGGAGTGTGGGAGATGATGAAGGCGGTCGGCCGTGGCAAGGAAGGCTGGCTCGGCCTGTGGAAGGGCTCGTTGACTTCGTTCATCCTCGAAGTCGCGTCGTCCACCATTCAGCCCATCATCTCTTCCATCCTTTCGCTGTTCGCTCCAACAGCACTGTCGCCGCTGCCGCTCGCTTACGCCCCGTACCCATACAAGACGCTCGGCCTGCTGCTTTCCTCTCATCTCATCACGGGCATTCTCGTCTCGCCGCTCGATCTCGTCCGCACTCGCCTGATCGCCCAGAGCACCCTCCCAGCTCACCGCAAGTACAGCGGACCGTACGACGCCATCAAAAAGACGCTCCGCGAAGAAGGCGGCTGGAAGACGGCCTACCTCCACCCCAACCTGCTCATCCCCACCATCCTCGACTTTACGCTCCGTCCGCTCCTCTCGCTCGGGGCCCCGCTGCTGATCGAACACACGCTGCGACTCGAGCCCAACACGCATCCCATCAGCTATGCCATCACCGAGCTCGCCATCTCGACTGCTTCGCTCTGCATCACGCTTCCCATCGAAACGGTGCGCAGGAGGTTGCAGCTCCAGATCCGCAAGCCGTCCGGTGCGCAGGCCGAGGAGGTCGGCGCGGGGTCGACGCGCAAGATCACTAGTGCGACGGTGCAGCAGCAGCAGACG